CAGTTGGGGGTGTGTGAGAGGCAACCAATCAATGTATCTATCACACACTAATGTTTCTCTCCCTCTCTTTCTCCATCACTTCCCCTCTCTCTAAAGGTAAATAAAATATTTTTTTTTAAAGGAGAAAGACAAAATATATATACTTAAAAAGAAGAAAGATTGAAAATTTATGAGTCAAGCATGTGCCTTGAGAAGTCAAAAAAGAAGTACAGAGTCAACTCAAAGAAAGCAGATAAAATGAAGTAACAAAGATAAAGGTATAAATTAATGAAACAAACTGTGGATTTCAATAAAATCAGAAGTTTGTTCTTTTTGAAAAATCAAATAAAAGACACCAAGAAAGAAACCCTGTGTCACTGGCCGGAGAAGAATAGGTTTGGGGTTTGGGGACACCTGTGTGGCCATTATCGTGGGGGAACGGACAGGGGTGAGGGTCAGCAGCCCAGATAGGCAGACCCCTCGCCATAAAAATGCCTGGGAGTTGTCCAGAGGGCAGTGGGGAGTCACGAACAGCTTTGAACAAGGAAGGGATGTGACCAGTCTGGGACACAGAGGGGCCGGGAGCCCAGGCTCTAGAGGTGACTCTGCCAGAGCTGAGACCAGGGGTGTGCCTTAGGCCAAGAGCCTGGGAAACCAGGTGAAGGCCAGGCGTGGAGGAAGTGGTAGGAACTGGGTACTGTGGGATCCTTACCCAGTAGCTCTGTTACTGCCTGGCTGAGTGGCCCAGGAGAAGCCCCTGAGCTGTGCCGTGTGCCACAGGGTCCTCCCATGTGAAGTAGCCTACAGGATCTACAAATCTCTGCCGGCCTGGGGCCTGTGACAAACACTGGTTACTAAGTGGCAGCCGCCCCTCCCTCCTCCTCACTAACGGAAACAGAACCTCATTTTGGCCGGGGTCTGTGAGCTCAGCCAGCCCTGGGGCCGAACCTCAGGGGGCCCCAGGTCATGCCCAGACTAGACAGCTTGAGTGTGGGGACTCTGGGCAAGTATCTCCTCCCTGTGAAGAGACAGGTTCAGAGGGGGGGACCCATTCTGGGGCTGCCCCTTGCCCTGAGGAGAGATACTGAGGCAGGTGGAAGGTGCCAGAGGGGCAAGGAAGGCCCCGGGTGACATCCCTGAACCTGGAACCAGGCCAGGAGCACCAGACTCTAACCCAGGATCCTGCTGGGCGACAGCTGTCCTCGCCGCTGCGGCCCTGGCAGGGGCTGGAGGCGGTGGCGGCCGAGGGCCCGGACCCTGGGCCTGTTGGTTCCCTGAGTGTCATTGGGCAAGTCCCTCCCCCTCGACTGTGCCTCAGTTTCCTGTCTGCAAATGGGGATGAAAATACTTCCTTCTTTTTAGGGTTTTATGCTGATTAGAGGAGAAAATGTATCTAACTGGCTAAGCACGCGGAGGGGCACCCACACAGTCAGGGCGATCCACGGAAGTCTTTGTTGTCGCCCTGGGTTCAGCATGCTGGACAGCCCGTTTGTCCTGCCTTACGTCACACACGCGCACGGGCACGCGCACACACACACTCACACACACAAGCGCACAAGCACGCAAGCACACACACGCTGGGATCTTGCTCCTTCACACCTTTGCACACACAACTGTGGATCCAGCAGAGGTGTGCCACCCTGAGCCCCTTTTTCCTAGAACCCTGTTCAACCTTCGATCCCCAAACTACAGCCTCCTATTCAATAGGCCTGGAAGATGCACTGCGCGGGGGCCTCCACGTCCCGCTCGCTCGCCCGCAGGGCCCCTGGCGCTCCGGGTCTGCGGGGTGAGGCCCTCGCCCTGGGGCGGAGGTGAAGTCCCCGGGCGCACCCGAGGGCACTCACCCTGCTCCGTACCCGCCCGGCCCCCGGGACCCCGGCTCCCAGAGCGCTGCTGCCTCCCTTCGCCCATTTCTTGGACCTCAGCGCGGCCCCCTCCCCGAGGACGCCGCTCTTGACGACAGGAGAGGTGGACGCCGCGCTCCCGACCCTCAGCAGTCAGAGCGCAGCTCTGCCGCGTCCCGGGCTCAAGGGCGCCGCAGGCAAGGGGCGTGCTCTCAGGCAGAGCCCTCTAATTTTGCACGACCTGGGCCGCTGCAGCCCGCCCTTCGGGTCCCCAGGGCCCACGAAGTTTGCTGTCTCTGTTCGGGCTTTCGCTCTGCTCCCCCAGCCCAGCGGCATCTCTTGTTCCTTTGTGTCGCTGCTTCGTGGGAGAAGAGATGTGACCATCTCATGGCCTCCCCCCAACCCTGCAATGGGAGCTACATCTGTCCTTCGGGGCAGCAGCCGTTTGTCCCCACAGGTACACCAGGCGGGTCTCCGGGGAGCTGGAGCTGGAACTGAGTCTCCAGATGTGCATCCACCCAAACTGTCCATGTACAGGCTTTTATTATAGAAAAATCTGTCAAAATATTTTTCCTGTTTACTTTTTATTTAGGTTTTTTTTTTTTTTTAGCAATAAGAATTTTTATGAGGTCTTTTTATTTCAATTTCTTTTCAGCTTCATGTAACCCCATTTAGAGATCTGATAAAGATTTACATTTAGCTCCATTTAATGAAGACATGAGGAATTTTTTTTCTTTATTATTCTGGGTATGGATCCATCTGAGTTTCACACCTATCCAGCTAAGGCCCAGCAATTTCCTTTTAATTTTAAAAAATGTTATGTATTAATTTTTGGGAGAGAAACATCGATTCACTGTTCCACTTATTTACGCATTCATCGGTTGCTTCATGTGTGTACCCTGACCTGGGATCGACTCCGCGTGTGCTCAACCATGTAGCGTGTTGCTAGTGGATTACGTGAAATGAGATCGTAGATGTGGCCTCTGAATTTGGCAGTCGGGGGGTAATTTATGACCTTGACCACAGGAGTTTCAGTAGATTGGTCTGGGCAGCAGCCGGGGCAAGGAAAGACTGGAAAGACCTGAATCGTCCTTTTCACACTGATGGGAAATCAAGATCCTGAGCTCCGCGAGGTGCACTGAGTCGGTAGGAGCCTTGAGGATGGAGGTGTGAAAAAGCAGTTCTGTGAAGGAATCATGTAAGGGATTGTAGAAGGGAGTGGGGCAGCTGGAGGATCCCTGTGGCGAGCGAGGGGATACGTTTCTAGTGCATCCAGTCAGCACAGCAGTGGGACCCTTTCCAGCTCAGGCAGGTTCCAGGAAGGGGGAACTGGGGGTGGCAGGCCCCAGCACCTGTGCAGACGTGGTGTTTCCTTTCCTCCAGGGGCTCTGGTGTGGGAGGCAAGCCTTAGACGGAGCTGCTGGCAGACAGGGCTGCTCCGCCCCAGGCCTGAGCTCTGTTATAAGTGTAGGCCCCCCGCCCCCCACTTTTAGAAGGAAACTGAGACCCGAAGCTCAGAGAGAGTCAGGCGCTGGGGGTAGGCCGCCCCGCTGGCCTGAGCCAGACCTCGGGCATCTTTGCTAAGCCTCTCCTCCAGCCCACAGAGGCTCAGGAAGGCAACAGTTGAGACCAAACTTCTTGACGGGTCAGGAGTAAACTGAGAATGTTCCTCCTGGGTTAACCCAGGTAGGCGCACTCAGGAAAACCCTCTTCAGCTGTTGGTAAGAATATGACAGTAACAATACGGTACTTGTAAAACGCTTTACCGGCAGCAGGCACTCCGCCAAGGCTCTTACGTGTTCCTGCATTTCAGCCCTCACGGCAGCCCCGCGAGGTGGGTGCTACCGTCGGCCCTGCTTCCCGCAGGAGGAGAGTGAGGCCGGGCCAGGAAAAGCGACCCGGTCAAGTCATGCAGTTCCCCGCAGCAGTGGTCAGATGGCAACAGGCCGCTGGGCCCAGACCCTCACAGCCCCCACGGGGACGTTCCTGAAAAGCTTGACTTCAGGTTCTGAGTGGGGAGGGCCCCTCCCTGGGACACTGGCCGCCTCCTCACGGCACTTGGTGGGCAGGGAGGCAGCCCTGTCCCGCGGAGCTCCCCTTGCAGGACGCGCGGGAGGAGGCCAAGAGCCCGGGGGCTGGAAGAGCAGGGGCCAGAAGGGCACTCTGGTGGCCCAAAGGTTCCTCCCTCTGGTTGGGCCTGTTCAGCTATGGCTCTGCCACTCCTTGGCTTCCAAAGCACCTGTGCGCCCACCCCAACCGTGTCCTCAGATGGCACCTGCCCTGGTCCCCATGAACTAGGGTCCTGGTGAGGGCGGCAATTGGGGCAGGCTGGCTGTCAGACTGCATGAGGCTGTCCCCGCACCTCTGGCCCTCCCTGGGTCCCCCACACCCATGCTCTTGCCGGGGAGGGGAGAGATGGCCTCATGCCAAGAAGCTGCCTCTAAGCGCCCGTCTCTGAGTCTCTGGTCCCTGCTGGGTGTGTACAGGGGTGAGAGAGTCCCGGCTTCCCCCGGAACCCTGGCCCACCCCCCGTGACTGTGGCTGCCCGGGCCGCGGGCTGCAGGCAGCTGCGTCCTTGCTGGGTGCAGCCAGTACAAAGACCACCCCCTTCACAGACCTTGAGTGTGTGCTGGCCTTGGTCACCTGTCCTCTCACGGGGCCAGCCCTCCTGATGGGGCCCTGCACGCCTGCAGCCCCGTATCGCCAGCACTCGCGGGCCGGGCGGAACCCTGTTCCTGACACACGAGCCCCTTGGGTCCCACTCAGCCCCTTCGCAGGGGGCCATGTGGGGCGAAAGGGCCCACAGACCCCTAGAAAGTTTGGAGAGAGTCCCGAGCACAGCCCGTCTGTCCCTCCCCGGAGCCCTGATCGCTGCAATCACAGTCTCAGCCTCTCCTGCCACACCGTGGCCACAGCGCTGTCAGTGACAGTCTTGAGGCCGGCACCCCTCCCCCACCACCCCCTGCACAGACAGGCCCACGTGTGTCCCCAGGCGCCTGAATCACTGCTGACGGCTTGGGTCCTGGTGGCCATGGGCTCCTGGGGAGCCATGGGGGGGGGGAGGTGACAGCCACGTCACCTCAGAGGAAACACCTGTGGCCATAAATAGGCAGCCAGGGAAGGCAGCACAGCACAGCCTGCTGAGCGGCGTCACACGCTGTGCCCACCTGCGCCAGGATGCCCGAGGCCATGCTGCCCGCCTGCTTCCTCGGCCTGCTGGCCTTCTCCTCTGCCTGCTACTTCCAGAACTGCCCGCGGGGCGGGAAGAGGGCCCTGTTTGACCTGGAGCTAAGACAGGTATGACCATTGCCTATCTCAGGGGTGCCAGGAAGGGAAGACCCCAGGGATGGCACCCCAGGGCAGGGGTTGGCAAAGAGGAATGCCATGGGACAGTGAGCCTTAGGACAGTGCCCTGCAGAAGCAGCGAGGTTCGGAGTGGATGGGCAGAGGGGCCCAGGCTGCCAGGCAGGCTAGACAGCCTGGAAGGCTTCCTGGACACTGTACCCATCCACTCCGAAGGCAGGAAAGAGGGGCATCCCTTGTAAGGGCACTTGGGGCTGGATCAGTAAGGCTCCTGTGTGCCCGTGGGGGACTCTCAGCCATAGTGGCTGCAGCAGTAGAAGCTCTGTCCTTCCCAGCATCCGAGGCCTTCCCCACCCAGCTCCCAGACCCTCCTAGCCAGAGGCCCCGGCCTCCACTCAGACATGGCCCTCCCCTGAGCTCACCTGAATGGAAGCTGCTATGCAAGCATCCTATAAGGAAGTTCTGCTAGACGCCTAGCCTACTTCTCTCCTGCTGCATGTCTTGTCGATTCCCTGGCATTCCGTTTCCGTTAGAGCTGAAGCAAATCCAGTCACCATGCTCAATCTCATTTGTGCTCAGGAACAGGAAGCTCGATTCTGAGCTGTCGAATACACTAGAGTGGGTAGGTGAGCAGACTGCAGATGACCCCTGAGAGTGTTTGGAGACCTGGAAGCCTGGGTCACCTAGGGGCCTCAGGCTCCGTTCAAGGGCTCAGGCCCCTGCCGCCTGCCTGGTCAGTGCACAGGCAGGTGAGCAGAGGCCCACAGCTCGGGTGTGGGGGGGAGTGTGCAGGGGTTGGACTGAGGTGGGGAGGCAGGTCGAGGCCAGAGAGGGGGCAGGAAATGGGAAGAAGGGCCTGGATGTATGGGGTGGGGGGGCCGTGGCTTCTCTGCATGGGGTGCGGGGGGGGCAGTGAGCTAGAGATCAAGCTTGAGTAATGGGCACAAGAGACAGGTCTATGTTAGGGAGAGGGTGGTGGGCAGCTGAGAGAGGGGTGCACAGCACGAGGCCCCAGAGCTGAGGAGGAAGGTGTCCCCCACGCCATAGCTCACGGGAGACCCTCACCTCTATGGGGGTGGGGTGGAGTGTGGGGGCAGAAGCTGAGTGATGTCACCGAGAGTCAGTCTGCCTCCCCGGTAAATCAAGGGAGGTTAGTAGGTGTGGGCTCTGCTCCTTTGATCCCGTTTGGGGCCAAAGTAGCGCCCGGGCAACCCGGAACCTCAGGTCCATGCTCCTCCTTCCCCTACACACACAGAGGCTCTGAGCCCCAAGCCCGGCTCAGCCCCCTCTGGCTCACCCCTGCCTTCCCGCAGTGCCTGCCCTGCGGCCCCGGGGGCAAAGGGCGCTGCTTCGGGCCCAGCATCTGCTGCGGGGACGAGCTGGGCTGCTTCCTGGGCACGGCCGAGGCGCTGCGCTGCCAGGAGGAGGCCTATCTGCCGTCGCCCTGCCAGTCTGGCCAGAAGCCGTGCGGAAACGGGGGCCGCTGCGCCGCCAACGGTATCTGCTGCAATGAAGGTGCGCGTCCACCAAGGCGAGGGGAGGGTGAGGCGGTGCGGAGACCTCGGCGGGGTCCGGCTGGGGTGGACGGGGGTGACCGTTGGGTCCTGGCGGGAGGGTCGTGCAGATCTGCATCTGGTCCCGGGAGCTGCAAACGCACTTAGCCCTTACTCCCCGCAGAGAGCTGCGCGTACGAGCCCGAGTGCCGGGAGGGCGCGGGCCTCCAGCGCCGCGCGCGCGCCAGCGACCAGAGCAACGCGACCCAGCTGGGCGGGCCGAGCGGGGCCTTGCTGCTGCGGCTGGTGCAGCTGGCGGGGGCACCCGAGGCCGCCCCACCCGACGTCTACTGAGCGCCGGCCAGATCCAGTCCACCCGACCCGCGAAGTTCGAGAAATAAACTTTTAAAATGTACTGTTTGTTGTCCGTCTCTGTCTCGGGATGGCGAGGGGATCGGACGGCTGGGTGGGGCGCGAAACTCCACCCAGCACACACGCCTGCTGGACCTCTTTCCGTACCCTAATTAATAGGCAGATCCACCCAAGGGAAGAGAAAGATCCCTTAAGCAAAGCGATCCTGGGCCAGCAGAGTCGCTGGAACTAGCGACAGGCTACCCGGGGAGGGGGGACGGGAGGGTCGGGGCTGACAGTGATCCAGGACCGGTGGGTTGGGGATGCGCAGGCGCAGGGATAGGAGTAAAGGGAGAAGCGTAGGAGGAAGACACCCGTGGACGACTGAGGCAGAGACAGAACAGAGACATTGAGAGTGTTAGAGAGAAAAGCAGAAGGGACAAGCCAAGATGTGACCAGGAGATCCTGTTCCCATTGACTTCCCAGGAGACTGAGGGACAAGCAGCTTCAGGAAACTTCCAGATCCCCAGATTCCCAGGGCAAGGCATTTCATCCCAGCTTGTGCCATGTTGTGTGTGGGTGTGGGCATGCGGGTGTGCAAGGGGTGGGGCCACGCGCTGTCTGTGCAGCAGGAAGCTGGGCACCCGCTGTTGCCTTCTCAGCCAGCCTGGGAGACAGGCCTCACTGAGACCCTGGCTGCACCTCCCCACCAAGTACAGCCAAGCAGACCACGCGCACACACACACGGAGACAATAAAATAATCGCTAGTGACGCGCCCTGTGAATCGTGACTGCTCACGGATGCACCGCAGGCCCTGAGATACACATGCAGAACCACAGACACACTCAGAGAAACAGACGCAGAGGACCGAGGACAGACAGGCACATGCACACACACGCAAACACACACACTCACAGCAGCTCCCGGGCACAAGGACTCTCCACCCTTTGACACATGCACCTTCAGGTCAGAGACGTCTATTAACATGAGGCCGATGCTGTTGTCTGTCCTCTGTCCCTCTTTGTCCCTTCTCTCCCCTCTGCTCCTTTACCCCCGTTCCCCTCACTCCCCTCCCTTCTCCATCCCCTACTCCTGGGGTCTCTCTTGCTCTCTATTTGTCCCCCTACAGCCCTCCCTTTGTCCTCTGCCCCCCACCCCTTGCTTGTGTCCCATCCTTCTTTCTCCACCAGCTCTGTCCTCTTCGGCCTCTCCTTGGATGCCTTGCTCCAGGTCTTGGGGCCACAAGAGGCTCCATCTCCCCCAGGATCCTCTGCTGACTTGGAGGCCGGCATGGAGCGCAGCTGAGAGAAGGCCCTCTGGTTGGGCACAGCCTCATGACAGCGTCAGCCAGCCCTTGGTGGGGGAGAGTCAGGGTGAGGCACCCAGCCAAGGTCAAGGTCTCTCGTGGCCTTCGAGATCAGCTACTGTCACCCCTGACCTGGCGGAGGTGAGGGTGGGGCCAGGGGTCATGAGGGCTTTGGGCCCTAATTAATGTAGGCTGATGTGGTCTGTCTCCTTGTCTGTGTTCTTTGTCTTTTGTGGTGAATTCTGTGGTCCTGGTCTCTTCAGAATCCCTGCCCCACAAGGTCCCCCCGGTGTTGATAGTGTGACATGAAAAGAAATCGCTACAGTCAATATTCAGTGACATAGTGGATGTTTCTAGTTTCAGACGGGGATGCTCTGGCCCGAAGCCTCTCACAGCCGTGCGGCTCCCCTCTGCAGCTTAGTTCTCTGGGCGCACGCAGAGGCAGTTTCCTTTGACCAAGGCATGTCATTTCATCACCTATTTGTGCTAATGAGCACCATTTTTAAGAAAGGAAATTTGGGGCATCATTTCATAGGAGAACATTGACTTTTCCCACCACCTTTTTATTTTGTAGCTGTTACTGGGAGAAATTTCAAATACAGTATAAAGTGGAGCCAATAGACTAAAGTCCTTCAGGCACCCACGCCCTCGGCTATGGCGATTACCATCATGTGGCGGCTTGTTTCATCTCCACCCTGACTCTCCCTTCCAGTCCCCAAAGAGCGTGAGGGCAGTCCCAGCTCCCAAGCCATTTCACCTGCAAACATTGCAGGGCGCATCTCCAGAGACGGCCTTTTCCTATAACCGCGACCACAGGCTGCGATCAGACACATGCAAATCTCAACCATGTATGGGTACCCGCATACCTCAGGGACACTGTGGGTCTGGACCCAGACCAGCCCAGCGAAGTGTGAGGCAGGAAAGAGAGTTGTAATCGTTTGCTGGCGGAGGGTCTTGCCTTCAGTTTGTAAAAACTGCAACGTCTGAGAATTAATAAAGCAGAGCGCAATGAAACGAGGCAGATGGGGGGCATCCAATATGCAGGCATCGTTCAGGTTTCCCCAGATGTCCCGTGAGTACATCTTTGCAAGTCATTGATAGCTGAGTCCTATTTTCCCTAAGGCTAAACGAGAATATTAATCCTCGTGCCTCTTCTGCTCTCCTATTGCCCTGAACTTCCTGGAGAGGATGACTTCCAATCTTGTACTGTATTCCTTAAAAGCAGGTGTAATCACGTCACTTTCCTGTGTGTATGTCACCCACAGTCACCTTGCGTGTTTCGTTCCATATCAAAATGATGCCCTTATGTAATATGTTACTCTCCTTTTCCCTATACTGCTGCCAGGGCTAATTACATGTTTGGTGAGATTGTGTGCAGGTAGGCTTGACATCTGGGAATTTTATTTCTGGGTAGCAAGCGGGTTCACAAAGTACGAGTTAAACAAAGGGAGAGCTGGGAACCACTGCTCTGGAGAAGCCTCGGCACTTTGGAGGTTTGAAGGGGACATTCCAACGAGGACCAGAGGCCATGGGACTGAGCCAGGAAGACGAGTGAAGAAAGAAAGCAAGCGCGCTCCTGCTTGGTTGGGGCAGTGCCTTCTGGAAGGGCTGGCCCAAGGCCGGGGGCATTCCGTGCCTGTCGTTCTGGCCACTGAACAATGTCACTTGGCCCTGGGTCTCCTCAGCAAGCCTCGCTGCTCACCCCTGAGACCTAGCTGGCTGCCATCTCTGGGATGTCCCCAGGAACAGAAGTGTCAATCGGGCCCTGTGTTTTGATACTAGAAAAGAAAACATTGCTGGCCTTTGGATTTAGGGAAAGGATGGGACAGAGGATCGGCGGGGTGCCTGAAAGGGTGAGGCGACCCCGAACTGAGTCCCAAGGTGAGGAAAGCGGGGCTGACACCCCTCTGCTCGGTGTAAGCCACTGGCGCGTTGAAGCTATGCAGGGCACTCAGGGCTGAGAGGGAGGTCCAGGGGGGAGAGCGCGAGTTTTCTGCTCATGTCGTCGGTGGACACGCAAGCTTGGGAAAGCATAGACCCAAAACCTCATGTCTCTGTAGTCAGGGAGTGCGGTTTCCTGCGTGGCTTCTGTCGGCCGGCAGAGCTCCTAGGACTTTCCTCAGACATCCATTTATGTGCATCGTGTACTTCTCCATGGCTGATTTAGAGAGGACTTCCCTTTGAGTCATGTCCTGTTCCTTTCCTGAATAACCCCTCAACTACACCCACCAGATGGGGGGCCACAGGACGGACCTGCTCTCACAGCCTCAGCAAGAACCCCCATCCAGGTGCCTGCAGACCCCTGGGGCTTTCAAAATCTTCATCTCTATTCTCGTCAGGCCTCTTAGTAATGACCTTTTTTCTCATTTTTTTAAAAAAGATTTTATTTATATATTTTTAGACAGAAGAGAGGGAAGGAGAAAGAGAAGAAGAGAAACATCAATATGTAGTTGCCTCTGACGTGCCCCCTACTGGGCACCTGGCCTGCAACCCAGGCATGTGTCCTGCCTGGGAACTGAACCGGTGACGCTTCTTTGGTTCTCAGGCCGGATTTCAATCCACTGAGCCACACCAGCCAGGGCTCTCATTTTTAAAAACTTTCATTCAGGTATAGCATACACACAAAAGGGAACACATCACAGGTGTAGTCTGAGTAATTTTCATGAACCCGGCACACTTGCGTACCTGCTCCCAGGCCAAGAAACAGAATAGGACCAGCACCTAGAAGAGCCCTCACACTCCCCTCGCTGCCCACCCAAGACCTCCAGCACCACAGCTGAGCTTTGTCTGGTTTTCAAATTTGTATAAAGACGTCCTAACAGACCTCTTTAGAGGGTTTTTCTCTTTCCCCTCTGTCTGTGAGATCCATATAGTGTTATGTTCGCTGGAGCAGGGATTGGTGCTCCGCCAGGGTGAGAAAGCCACAGAAGTGACTTTTTCCAAGCCCGACAGGCAGCCTGCGCTCCCGTTCTGTTGGGGCAGTGCCTTCTGGAAGGGCTGGCTCAATGCCAAGGGTGTTCTGGGGGAGAAGGGCTGGGCTTTCGATTCCCAAAAGGGATTTGGTGCAGGAACAGGTGAGAAGTAGGTGAGGTTCTCCCTGGTGGTTGGTGTCTTTTGTCCTTTAGGGGCATTCCTGGGGCCATGGGTTCTCGATGACCCCTGTGGCACAGGGTCCCCAGCTTGGCCACACCTTCTGAGTACCAGGGGCCTCCTGGGGGCCTGAGACTCCCGCTCCTTGGAAGGCGGAGGCCCTTCAGCTGTGGAGGTGGGGGTGTCCTGCCGCCAGCCCTCAGCGGTGACTCCAGCTTCCTTGGGGAAGTGAGGAAGTGACTCGCTGTGCACGGGTTGCCTGTGAGGCCCTTGTGTCTGTCTGCCGAAAGAACCCTGTCTTTGGACCTTCGATGGTTCTCTCAGGTCCTGCCTGCAGTGGGTCCCCAGCTCTGTTTGGAGGGGATTGTGTCCATCTCTCTCAGTGGCCTGTGCCTGTCTCCAACCTACCCTCACACCATCCCCGCTCCTGCCCCGCCTCCCTCCCGCCGCCCCGCTCCCCCGGCCGCGTGCTCTGCGAAACTGCACCCCCGACCCCACCGCCACTTCCCCGCCCAGCAGGCCCGCTCCAGCCGCGGGCCGCCGCGGTCCTGCTCCGAGTTGCCGGGCCTGTGCACACAGCCCCCGCCGAGCCCTTCCCCCCCGTGC